AGTTAAGACTACTAGTTTTATGTTAATTACTTAAGGTCAAAGAGTCTCAAGTAGTACTATAGCAAGACCGGCCCTAAATAGAGGCGCAAAGGAAACGAAAAACCTCCAGCACCACAGGGAAGCTAGAACCTGACTACAAACTAAGGCAAGCACCGAGTTTTACCTACTATAAAAAAATCTGCATCTTTTTATTGCTATCCAAAACAATACCTAATGGAAAGTACTATAATCTTGCTTCCAAGTTTATAATCGGACATTAGCCAATCAATTTAAAAGCTCAAATCATTCTAAAAAACAAAAGATAACAGAAGTTGTGCTCAAGGGGAAGGCCACTGGTAATGCCTTAGAAGAGTAGAGAGTAACATTCATTTGTAAATCACCTCCAAATGGCAACTTAATCTTCCACCGTTGATCGTAACCTCCGGGTGATCGCCAGGACTAACCCCAACGCTAACTGCATATTGTATCAATATTTTGTAGGATGCATATATTAAAAATATATGAAGTGTAAGGGTTAATTAAGTATATGTATTATAATGTGAATAATTAAGTAAAATAATGTAGTGTATAAAATAAGTTAATAAATACAACTCAAAGAAATAAAACGAGAGCAAGGAGGAATTTATTTACCAGTTTCAGTTTGTATTAATTATACCTTATTTACAAAAGGTCGAAATATACTTCCAATATGTAAAGTAAATTTAATGGAACCATATAAAGTTTTACTTTATTTAATACGTATCCAATTAATAAAGTAGGTCAAATTCAATTTTTTGTTGAAATATTAATTTCTCTTGTATTTTTATTGGCTGTTTCTCAAGTTTCTGATTGGATCATTTTTTTGTGAAAAATTTGAGGATTAGTGTTTTTGTTGTGTTCGAGTTTTATGGTAGTGTTCTTTGTAAATTAATGTATTATACAATATATTTTTGTAATCTATGTTTATTTTTGTTTTTCTATTTGTGGTTTCGAGTTTTTTGCATCCCTATTATTGTTTTCTTATGCTGTGTTATTTAGCATCTTGTTATATTGTCATAAACTTGCCTGCTCAGCAAAAGAGTACCCATGCTAATACGAAAGCTCTCAAGTTATGAGCTAACAGTTAGGTTCCTACTACGTGCCCAATACACCATTGGAATGGATTTTTAAAGATTCGGTAGCGAGTATCTCAGTATTCGCAGTATTATAAGGTTGTTAAACCCCAAAGGATTGGCATAGCAACGAGAGAACGAGCGTGCGAGCTTGCTAACATATTACAACAAGTTTAACCCTAACCTAACCGAGCTTCAACCTACGAGGATACCAGGTTTAACTATAATGTTAAAATGAAATTAGTAACACACTTCATCTCTATACTAACTTAAAAATAAATATTAAAATTAATTTAACATAATTCAACTAAATTAATTGAATTATCTAAACCATAGGGTTGATGTAAAATATAAGTGTTGATCTTGAACATCAAGAGAAACTATGATTTTTTTTAAAGTAAAATTCATTATAAAAAATTAGCTAAACTCCGTAGTATAAGGGCCTTTTCATAGGCATAAGGCATTAAAACGTTCTCTTATAAATTATTAAGGGCCCTTTCTATTCCCTTGCTAGTCCAACACTATACAAGTGACTCTTAAGTTACGATCCGAGAGATGCGCTAATGCTACAGCCCATATTACTCTATCAAAGTAACATGCACATTAGTACTATTAACCTCCTTTATAACCTAGCCAAATTGAAAGATAGCACTCGAGACCCACGGCCTACTATGCAGTAGTTAACCCAAAAAAATGAAGCTCTCTTTTTTATTGAATAAAGAAGTCTACAAAGTAATGAAGACTTTGCATGATAAAGTTGATGTAAATAACTGGATAATAAAGGGAATTGTGTACTAATAATTTTTCATCACTTTCATGCCATTAGGGAAGTGCCCTTATGTTAGGTGAAAGTCTTAACTGTTTATATATCCGGCCCAAGGAAAGTAGGCTCAGCTTCATTCTAAATTATCGCTTCCATTCATCCTAATGGTCACCTTTTTTATTTTATCGAGGTGCTATCAGTCAGATAAATACCGTTGTTAACTAATTAGTCGAGTTAGCTTATAAAAACTTAAATTTTAAAAATTCTGCAAACCTGCTCGCACAGTTTTACAGTTCATTATCTGAACAGGGAAGCTATAGTCCTTCTTTGATATGCTAAGCTATTACCTCAGTTATAGACTGAATTCAATAAGAAGCTACTAAAAATACGTAGGTATCCAATTTAACAGTACCAGGACTTGATTATCTTAAATTTAAAACCCGTGTCTAGTTTTCTAATAAATTTGTTAATTATTCTCGAAGTAATTATATCAGCAAAGGCAAATTCTGGACCAATCATATGCTTTCATTAAAAATGATATTTTTTGGCTCTATCAAATTTTTTATAAAAAGATAGATATTTAAAATTGTTTAAAGTAACAAAAAATTATTGCGAAAGGGTTTTATAGTAATACTTTATGTATACGTGTGCATTCTTTTTAATCGTAATGACTTCAACAGTGTACAGCACGTTAAATTTTAATAATTATTACCCTGAAAGTAATAAAAATTCCTTTTAAACTTCTTTAGGCCTTTTTTCAGTAAAGTACCTTTTGCGTTAAAGTGGGATAAGTCGGTTCACTTTTAAAATATTTAACAATAGAATTCCCACCCAATCCTTACTACTAACTACAACTTTATTTGCACTACAAACATCAAAGGTATTAATCTGAAAGGCTTGCTTCTCCTACTGCTGCTATTTCGCAATTTATGCAAGCGTCTCCTGCAAGCCGACGATACCTTTTTTACTACGTCAACACTTCCAGCTTTCTCTGGACGCTTTTGCTGGTGTCGTCTTATCGGCCTTTTGAATAACGTGTTAGTTCTTTTCTTGAGTGATAACACTGTATAATAAGTGATTACATGAATATAAAAAATATTATTCAATACCAAGAAATTATATACATTATTTATTAAACTATACCTACATTACTACACACTAAAAAGACCCAGCCCATACACGGCGGGGAACCCTAAAACAATAAGAAAGTAAAAGGAAAAAAAAAACTGTCTTCCAAGTGACCTTTATATATTCACTCTAATCCTCAATCCTCACTCCCCTGTAGTTACGAAGCAGCAAAGAGCAACGCGCTCATAACATCCAAGACATGCATATGTGGTTGCGTCCGCACGTAAATTACGTGGTTGCAAAGCTCGAGGCGGCGACCCTGGCATTATACCCTTTACTGAACAGCAGTACTCATTCGTTCCGCAATAAGCGAAGGCTTATATGCTGTGCGTTCGTCGTACGTCACACGCCACTACTTTCTGAGTCTACAACTCGTCAAGAATAGTGTCTAAGTCTAAGATCGACGTCTTCGTTACTGTCACTAGTCAGGGTTTACGGTACGCCGCACTTGCAGCACGAAGGTAGAACTTGTGTACTATTTTTAATGGAAAAATATAGCACACATTTGTTACCAATACTTTGGTATATATATGACAACAATTATTTTATAAATAATACAAAAATGGACAGGCAAAATGGTCCTTGCTGCCCAAGCGCCTTTCCGTGAGAACTGAGCAACAACTATTATAGTGAACTCGAAGCCGCTCACGACGTTCCTATTTGAAAAATATTAGAACGACTTGAAATTGGAATGTCTGTTTCGACCGCGTCAGTATCAAAAATAAATAAAAAGATAAGCATACAGATATTTTTGTTCTTGCATTGCTGCGCAGCATTCTCCTAGCATGGAGGGCTAAAGGTTATACCTGTTTAGTAATGAAGTCTAGCGTTTAAAGGGCGTTTTATTAATACATTTAAACCTTCTAAACAGATTTATAATATTTTAACAGTTTTATTATATAAAAGTTTCTATATACCGTCGCTCTTTAATGACGGATAGCTGTAAGGCAATTTATCTTTAAACGGAGGAGCGAATTTTAGACTTCGACTATATGAGAAAGACATTAAAAATTGTTTTACAAAAAAAAAAAAACTAAGTGGACTTCTTAAACGTCTAGTCCTGTTTAAAACTCAGTGTATAAAGTTAGCTCTCTCAATAACTAGAAGTCGCCTCATATATAATAAATATATAAAAAATAAAGGATCGGGGCTCCAAAATTAGTTTTGTATAGTTACTTAAACTAAAGTATTTGCTCAACTAATTATTATTAAACGTTATACTTACAAAAAACAAAAAGCGAAACTACCTAACCTTTTTTTTGTTCTCACTCTTAGTTTTTAGGTGACCAAGTTTTGTTTTTTCCTTCTACAATACTAAATACCATCTGCAGGGTTTACTTTTAAATCTTCCTTGAGTTAAGAAACCATCTTTACTTTAAAACAAACGACGTTAGCTTTAAAGGAAATCTGTAAATATAAAAACTTTTATAGCACGTAAGACCGATTCTAATAAGTTTTACAAAACTTTATTTTTTATTTATGTTATAACTATAACAATTATTACTCTAATTATTCCCTTCAAATACTTAAATTTATACATTCTTCTAATTAGATTTACTTAAACTTATATTTTTAAAATTTTGTTTATTAAATTCTTATCTTATTCTTTCTTTTAAATATTTTAAAGTTATTCTAATCGACTTTAAAGTTTTAATACTTTTATTATTATTTTAAGGTAATTTATTAACTTTGTGTTATTTTAAATAAATTTGTGCAACTTTTTTAATTTCGCCTATTCGAGCAATCCTTCTTACTAGTTTTATAAAACAAAAAATTGCTTTTCTCTTAATAAAAATTTCATTATATTTTTAAAATTTATAATTCCAAAGAATTATCTAGCAAGAAAGAAAAGTTGAATTATAGGCCATAAAATTATAATTTTTTTTATTAAGCTTAAGTCTGATTGCAAGTTTTCATAATTTCTGTAAAATTATAAATAATTAAATACATAACAAATGCTAAAAAAATTAAGCCACCAGAAAACGGAATAGCCTCTAAAATTCTTTTAGATTTAACTTCCATTTCGTGTCTTGTGTTTAAATCAATAAGATTATTAAAAAGAGGAATCCAAGATTGCTGCTGTATATATTCATCAACTTCGGCTTCTAGATAGAAAAGTAATAAAGGTATATTTTATTAAAAAAATAATAAACATAAACCAGTAAAATTAAATTCTATTTTTAGGCACGATTTTGAGATGGTCCTGTAGGAAGAAAGTATGATATCTCTAATAACTATAACGAAAAGTAAGCAAAGGTAAAAATGAATTTAATAAAAATATATTAACTAATTAATAACAAAATAATAAAAAGATATTAAATTATTTTATAAAATTATTTTAATATTTACATATATAAAAGTACAATGACGAATGTGATCTATAAATCCAACGGCTCGCGAATAATCTACGCCACTTGAGAACAAAAGTTCCCAAAAATCAGAAAAGTGGCAAATATCTAACAGTTCAGCTAATTGTAGTAATAAGCTAACTTCTCTATCGTTTTTTACCTTATCATAAAAAAATATTAAGTTTTTAATTATTATATAAACTTCTGAGAAATATACCTTTTCACTTAACATCGATTTAAAGTTTAAAAGATTAACTTCGTTTATATGCATAATGACTTTTAGTAATATTAAACGGATAGCAGAAATATCAAGAATATCAGGATTTAATAAATTAAGCTTTAAAAGAGTCAAGTTAGCTTCATTATCAAAAAAACTTTCTTCCAGTTGATCGTAAACGTGCTGTTGAAGTAACTCTAGATGTTGAGGATTATACCGCTCCATCCCTTCCATGTTATATAATAAAAAATAAGTATAATAAAAAAAAAATTTTTAATTATTAATACCACTGTAAAGTGAGTCATCTAACTTAAACATATAATCTTCCTGGGACATTTTTAGTTGTAACAAAGGTGAACACGGAAATAAAACCAAAAGCAAGTCTACATCTTCCAGCAAGTTAGCGTTCAAGCTTGACCACGTGCTGTGTAATGAAAGAAGTTGAGCATTTTCGTTCTTGCTTTGTCATTTATATATATTTATTACTTTTTTATTATTTTTATTTTTATTTTTTGTTATTTATAATTACTTTTTTGAGAACGAAATAATATCTTTTTAAGATAAAACTTCTTTCCAGGGATATAAGCGGTTTCTGCTGCTCTAAGATTTTGCAAAACTGTTACACAAAGGGTGTACACGAGATAAAGAAGCGATAAAGCACTTTAGTTAGTTTACTATTAACAAAACAATAAAGAAAAAATCCTCTTTAGGCATTTATATATATAACAAAGACTTTTCAGGAAAAAATAATTCATATACTTTTATATTTATTTTTTCCATGTTAAGATGCCCACACGAGGTTTCGAATCTTTAAGTTTATTCTAACTGTTAATTTTACTACTTTGGTTAATTATATGTAGAAGTCCCCAAGTTAATAGCACCTTTGAGTTCTTTAAACGATGTTTTCACTACTAGGTTATCTTTTATTGGAGTAATTTTTTTTAATTTACTTTTCTCGTTATAAATAGAATTTGTATTCTTGGAATTCCCGATTCACTTTCAACTTTAGATTTAGAAATTCGCCTTAAAAGTTTTATAAAAGTAGAAAATATAGAACTTGTCAAGGATAAGCTTACTAACTTACCTAGAGGTCTTTAATATAAAATTTTTGTTAGTTATGTTATTTATAACTTTTTTTAGTCACTCTTTTGTTAATAGATTTATTTGCTTGGTTAATTTAGTCAACAAGTGAAAGTTTTTAATTACTTTTAAAAAATTTTTTTAAAAAAAGTAGATTTTCATAAAATTTTTAAACTGACCTTTTAGTTTTAAATATTACTGTTTAGGAATTGGCTACGCTACGCTGATTGGTACGCATAAGCAAATTCAACAGTGTATTTCGGCCTTAAGTATTTTTAAATAATATAAATTTATTACTAAATGGATTTTTAAATTTAATTTACAGTTGCATTTCTTACTAATTTTTTATTATCTTTTTTTTAGATAATTCGAAATGGAAGGGATCTACTATCAGAGTGGAATTAGCGAAAAGAAAAAATGAAGATCTGCGTGATGAAGAACGTCTTTCGGCAGCCCAATTTGAAGCTATTACAGAAAAAAATAAACTAGAAAAGATTGAAAGAAATTTAAATCCTGTAACTTTTGATGAAGCCGAAAAGAATTTAGTATGATGTTTTCGATTTTTTGAATTAATAATTTTAAAAAAAGATTTTTATTATTTGGTATTTTTTATAACTATATTTATTTTATTAACAACAAGTTAAATTTAAAAAAATTTTGAATTATTCATATATAAATAATAGATTTTATTATAATTATTTTATTAATAAATTACAATTAGAAAGTTTATAAAAATATAGATGTAGCAGTTTAATTTTTTTAATATTTCGAAAAAATTATTTATATTAAAAAATATTATTACTATTTATCTTAAGGTTAGTTTTTTTATAATTTTATTTTTTCTGTACTTTAATTTACTTTATAATTTATTAATAAATTTAACTTAAATATTTTAAATTCTAAATCTTTATTTGTCATTTTGGTTTTCTATAATTATTATAATAAATTTTATTTTTTATTAATTATTATTTTTAACGAACTTTTTATAAATTTATTTAAAGTTTTATTTTTTTTTTTAAATTAATTTTTATGGTATTAAAATTTTATAAATTTTTATATTGGTCTAATAATTTTTGTTATAATAAATGATTAAATAATAATTAATAGTAATTTATTCTTTTTTCTAAAAAAATCTATATAAAGTTTTAAATTAATTTAGCTATAATTAAATTTTTTAATAATTTATATAATCAATAATTAAAATTTAGAATAATTAATTTTTTTTTTGAAATTTTTAGAATTATAAATTTTTTAACTTAATTTTAAACTGTTTAAGATATTTTTTTATATTTTATGTTTTTAATTTTTTAATTATATTTTTATAAATAATAATAATAAAATTAGTTAAATTCTACATTGCCTTTTACTTTATCAACTTTATTATTGTTTTAAATAAATTGTTTACAAATTTATACAAAATTTTCCTCATTACTATAATAATTATTATTTTGGTGAATATTTTTGACGACTGACTTAAGGGCCGGAAGCGCACGTGCGTGAGGGTTAACAACCTTTCTAACCCTCCTCATGGACGCTACGGCACGTGGGATTCCTCCAATCAGCATATATATTTTACTGATTCTTATGAAACCTGTGCTTCGTCTAAAACTTCACGATCTGCCTATTTTAAGGGGTTTTGATTTTTTCTTAAATTTGTTGCAATTATTATTAAATTTTATAAGATTAATTAAATTTATAACAAACTGAATAATAAATATAAAAACTTTTATAGTAGAAAAAGTTTATGATTTTAAAGAAAATTAGTATTAAATTTTTTTGTTTAATAAATTTTGTGTTTTTTTTTGTACGACATTAAATTTATATTATAAATCTGAATAATTTTTGGTTATTTTTTTATAAATTTAAATATTTTTTTAATTTTTATTATTTTATTTAAATTTTTTGACTATTTTTTCAGTATAAATTTTTTTTTTCACACTAATGATTTTTAATAATTTATTATTTTTATTAAAATGCCTCTTAAATTATGTTTTAAGTACAAAACTTTTTTTGAACTAATTAAAGTTTTTATTTTAGATTTTTTTTAATTTTATTATATTGTTTTTAAACTCCACAATTCAGTAATTTAACTGAAGCGGTTTCCCCTGAATCCTTAACCATGATTGGTGGAAACACTTCTGACGTCTCTTTTTTTATATGCATATAATTATATTTTCGTTTTATAAATTATAAATAATTTTTTTAGGCGCCCTCACTGAAATTTTCAGAGAAGAAGAGTAATTTACTTATTGTTTCTAATAAAAAGTTAAAAGTTTTATGAATAATAAAATATTATACACTTTTTAATCTTAAGTTAATTCTTCATAAAAACTTTTACACTTTTTTTTAAAATTTAATTTTTTAGATATCAATTTTGAAAAAACTTCAGAAAAACCTGTAATTTCTATTTTGACTCTGTTTTTATTTCCTACCGACTACCAGTTTTTTATACCTAAAATTTATATTGGAGGCAAGTTAATCCTTATTGATCCATTTTCGAAGCCTATTTCTACCAATTAAAACTTACTCTGAGCATTTTTAAATAAGTTAACGCTAAGTAATGGCTTAAATTGTTTCTCCTTTTCGCGTTTATTAGTGTTTATTGGATATGATAAAGTCCTATTGCAGCAAATTACTGTTTAAATGTTACCGTTTTACCTTTAATGTCGCTCCCGACCCGATTGTTATATATTTGGAACAATTGCTTATTACAATGCTACCAAATTAACATTTAGTGACTTTTTAATTTTCTAGAGAACCATTAACTGCACTCGTCATTATTATTACATTTATTTAGGAGCAGATCTCGTTCAATGTAGCTTCCAATCATAATGGTTCTGAGGCACTCATTGGTTCGTTATTCGTAAACTTGAAAGTTTTTTTTAACAATAACTTTATGGTCTCGATAACTTTTTTCCTTCTTTTTTATAGTAAAAAATAGTTTCTCTATATAAACGTTCGCTTTATTACTTTTAACTTTGTAAATACTGAAGGCGATGCTAACTACTGTAAAGTGGATGTTGGGCTTTTGAAGGAAGTCTACAACGATAAATCGTTCGTCTGCATTTACTTTGTGTTATTATTCAGCTTCTGAAATGCTCATATAAAATAAACTAAAGTTTAGTAAAAATAAAAAAGAAATTTTAAAAAATAAATGAACTCCATACGTTGTAGTTATTGATTGGTGTGTTTTTTTAGAGCTGAGGCGATTGGTTGAGTAATGCAGGTTTTTGAGAGGTTTAATAGGGCGGTGTCAAATAATTTTTTATTGTCCAATAGAAATAAGAATATTTGCTGTTAGAATGATATATTAATTATTGGCTTCAATTTTGTTAATTACTTCTTTATTTTGGTTATATTCTAAAAGCTCTTCTTTTCGCTTTTTTGATGAAAATTACGAAAATGAAAGCTCGACTATGGACGCAGAAAAGCTTCTTGATAATAATAAATTATCCACAAGGACGACTTCTAAAAACCCTCAAAGTCCACAAAAGCCTACTGAAGAAGAGGCATCGTCGCCATTTTTTTTTCATTTGAGTGATTATTCCTTGCAAAATCGGCTGCTCTCTGGCAAAGAATGCGATTTTTATAATTACTTTACGTGTCCTGCTAGTCAACGAGATTCGCTTGAGCAATGGAAGGACAAACGAATTAAACTGATGGAAATGTTTAGGCAGGCAAGACGGCAGGCCTTAAAGAAAGAGGGCATGAGAGAGAAAGCAACCTAATTATGATTTTTTTTTTATTAATAAACAAAGCTTTGTTAGTTTTTTTAGTTTTTTTAATATTAAAAAGCTGTGACCTTTTTTTTGTATAACAGTGAATGCCTACCATTATAATTAAATTTGTGTTATACAAACCTTTTTTATTATATAGCAACAACTTCAAAATTTGTTAGTAGCATAATTTTCTAACTATTTTTGCTTTGGGAAAAGGTTGTAACAGAGATTATAAATATAAGTTTTTAAAACTATAATACTACCTCAAGAGCTTTTTTATTGTGTTGTCAAGTGATATAATGTACGATAAGTAAAAAATAGTAGTTTTTGATGCTCTCAAAATTTTCGTTATACGCCAGGTGAAACTCTTTATGGTTCATATAACTCATCAAAACCTTAAGCCTCAGTAAATTCTCAGTGGCGACTTTAGAAGGCCTCTACACCCACAAGCTCCTTTTTAAGAAACAATACTCCAGTTGACTGTTAAACTTTTATAATTCCTCCCTGAATAACCTATTCTATTACTTGAATAAGTGAGCTTTCTCTATGACAGGCTATTACATCAATACTGAGTTAAAAATATAAGCGGATGCTGAATTTCTGCGAAATGGATATCTGAGCACAATATTATTTTTGTAAAAATTACGCAGCCGCCTTTATCGCTTACATAGTAATTTTTTTTTAAATAAATAAAGGTGCTTTTTTAGCGTTGAGCGTTAAAAGCAATTTTTTCAAGTCTCATAAAATTCTCCAAGTTCGCCATTTATAAATCTTTATTCCTCATGTTTTATTTTAAAATTGCTATACGATTTCGTTTCTACGATAATGCTGCTCCTGCAGTAGCTTTAAGTCATAGTAAATCGCAGTTAAATTATAGTTTACTATTACGTTTTTTATATCATTGTTTTAAAAAAGCTATATATTTTTTCGTTTTGCTTCAAGTTTTTTGGTACTTTAGACAACGCAGAAAGCGAAATTTTTAAATAAATTTATTTATGTAGGAAGTTAATGGTTGGGTCTTGTCATATACTTTTCAGCCCACCTGTCGTAAAATTATGACTAAGAATTATGATAAATCTTAATTGTAGCAGATCGTAATAATTTATATACGAGTATTATCTAACTGTAATTCGTTTTTCGCAGTAAAAAGGGGCGAGAATTCTTATTAACTATTGTTTAAAATAGTTATCAGCGGCCAAAGGAGGATAGGTAATTGTATTAGGTTTAAAGATATTAATTTTTATTATGTTTACTAGTTAGTAAGTCTGCACATTTTTCTTTCATATATGGGATAAATTCAGTTCCTACCATAGTCTATAATGTCCCACACTATGTTCTAGAATGAGCTTCATGCTTTTGGAGTTTTTAAACAGCTGATAGTATATTGCAGACTACTTTTTTAAGGATGCAAGGCGCGTATAAAAATTTAGTATTCCTACATGACCAAGTTGTCTAAATTATTGATCTATTTTTTAGTAATACTCATTACCAATAAATTTTTTAATGACATCTAAAGCACCGTTCGCTGGAGTATAATATATAAGTACTTCTTTTTTAATAAACTACAGTCACCTCAATACTTTTTGTAGATATGATTTTTTAATGTCTTGAGGGCTCAGAGAAATTTTCACCGTTTTTTAAGTTTTTTAAAGAGACCAATAGATTTAAAGGAAACATATACTTGCGAAGTTTTTTGATTAGAGAAAGTTGTTTCACGCATAAATCCCGGACTCTTCAATCATAAGTATGCGTTGAAAGATGTTTAAAGGAAGACGCGTATTAACTATTTAAAAATATCCTTGGGGTGATTTGACTTAGTTTTTGACCTAACAATAAAGATACTAGCTATACTGCGCTTCGCTGCTATTAATCCTCCCAGGTATTTTAAATTAAATAATTAAAAGCTGGTAGTTTTAAATAATATACTCTAATGCCTTCATACGAATATGTTTGACGTTAATAGCTTCTAACAGTTTCTGCATTGGTGTACAAAAAGAAATTCAGGTGATTATCGAAACAAAATCCATATAGTAAACTTTAAGAAAATCTTATAAGAACACTAGATCGTTTTCCAATATTACATAATTAATATAACTGACACTTAAGTAGTTTTTCGCAAGCCTATGTGAAAATCGTTAATGGTTTAAAGAATCGGCTTTGTAGATGATACTGGATCGTCTACTTCTAGTTAACCTACTCTCCATACATAATATAATCTAATCGATTTTCGCTGCTTTAAGCTGAGAGCCCCCTTTAACAGCATTGTAGGTTAGAGATACTAATTTATTATTATAAACTTTTGTAACTGTTTTCGTGATAAAGAATTGATGTGACTTTAAGTGAGGTTAACTCTCCAAAGAGTTCACTGAAAAACGATTAAATTCCTGCCTAGAAGACTCTTTTTAAAGAGCCTTTTTAGATTTCGTCAGGAACCAGATAGTTACTTTTAAAGAGAGTTCTATTCTAGATCTTTTTCATTGTATATGCTAAACAATCGGAAAATTTGTTAATTTTGCATATTATCAACAGTTATTATTTTTATAAAAAACTTTGGTTATTTCCTTTCTGTGGTTATACTACCAAATGAGAATAAGATATTGGGAACCTTCTCTAAACTCGTTATGCTCACCACCATACTTGATATGATTAATAGACACTAGTTCCGTGTGTTCGTCCTTTGCACTTATTCGAGGATACATCATCTTTAGCTCCGACTTTAATTTTAAGAGCTACCCATTGACCCATTTTTCAGTTATAGAAACTGTCACTGGAAAAGGGAAAGATTTTTTATATTGATGCTGCCTGTAAGGGTTGCTAGCAACTCTATCGCGTCTATACTCTCTAGTGTGTTTTTCACAATTTCTAGGTCTTTTCTAGAGTTATTCTCTTGTTGGTTATCGACATGCCGTTAGTAAGCTCTTTAGGTTCAATCCTAAGACTGGGCTTCTTCTTTCGTATTATTTCTTCATTTGATATTAATAGGATAACATTTTGTAGTAAAATATATTCAATTTACCTTGGGCACTAAAAATTGGCCTCAACAAACAGTACTGCACCTAATATTCCAAAAGTTAACCGATAAGGCGATATTTCGTAACATTGACGGCGTCGTCGAAATCGATTTTAAGTTGTGTTAAACTCTTGGACAATTTCTGAAAAGTAAATGGCAGAGGAAGTATAAAGTTACCATGTCTAACCACCAAAAAAAAAATTTGACTTTATCTCTGTTAGGTACAGTCATGGCGGCTATGTCGCCTGATTTTTTTTTATGTTTTTAGTTAAAAACTTAAAAAATGCCTTGGTCGGAAGTAAGTGGCTGACCAAATATAAGAACACTTTTTCCATAAATGTTTCTTTCACCCAAATGTTGTAGGACTCTTTCCAGTCCTCCACGGGTTCCGTCTTCATTTGAAGTTCAATGAGAAAAGTGCGCGAGTAAAGGGTGTCTAGTAGCTTCATTCTTAGTGCAGTTTATAAATTAGTTTTACATCGTGCTTATATTTTCGAACTCGTGAATAATGATGAATTACTATTAATGTAAAGTAGCACCATCAGATTCGCTTTTAAGGCAAACAACATCAACATGAAGTAGTTATAAGTAATCTCTCTCGGCATAACGAGAGGATATGAAGTTAAAGCAAGTTTAGTTTTTGACTGACCTAAAAAGTGGACGCTAATGGTGCCCTTAGCAGTGGCAGCGTTCAATGCTAGAGCGTGCCTTTTTACTTATAATTTTGCCTGGGAATGATAAAAACACTTGATAAAAGCTTTACATTAATGTTTCGAAAAGTTTAAATAATTTTTTAGCCATTAATCATTTAAATAATCTTTATAGATGTCGTTAAAGCCCATAGTTTCTGTAACCTCAGGACTGAGGTTTCATTGGGTACGCGGCTGGTAGTCCTTACGATTATTAGCTTTATATATTGCGGTAATAAAAAGCTACCCCCTGGCCGCTCTGGGAGCATGAGACGGCGAAATCTTATAAGGTGAGAGGTCGGTAGCCATGGAACTGTCACATTTTATAAATGGTCTCTCGTTTTTAATCAAAAATTTACTTTTGTAAGAGGTTCACCCTCCTTACATTTATCAACGCTTGCAAGAACTTCATCTCTATTCCGGTTGTTTTTAAATAGGCAATGAGTCATATTTTCTTCGATAAGAGGGCAGCCCATGTTTATAGAAATATTAGTTGGTACTAATGTAGCATCCAGCGCTGAGTTTTCATGGGGTAACTAACTAGTTAAATACTTTGTGTTCACAACTGTTTCTTACTAATCCGCGTATTAACTGTTCGGTTTAAAATGGTTTTTTAATGGCTTCTTGAAAATAATCTTTGCCTTTTCTAATGAAGACCTAAACATTTTAATAGGGGCCCTTGTTAAAAAAAAATTAAAGATAGATGAAGCCTTTTATATATATTAATTTTACTTCACCGTCAAGAGAGCGTATATTTATAGCGTTGCAGTCCTATAAAATAAACCCATTATCACGTAAACCGTTACTAATTATAGTTACTGATAAAAATAATGGTAAGAAAATTTATTGTACGATTTTGAGAAGCTACCAACAAAAATAAAACTAATCTTTTTTATTGGCATTCATGGTTATATAAAATGTAGGTAATATGAATGGCTTAGTTTACTTCCGTAAATTTTATCTATTTTATGACTAGTGTTAACACTTTTTGCTAGATGCAATAAACCATGTGTGACCAATTCGCTGCACGCGGTTCCTTCCATCCCTCCCCCACCCTCAATGCAGGGACTTACACACCTGTGGATCGAGTGCGTGACTAGTTTTGCCGCTGTACTATATCTTGCATATTGGCGACAAAAAATTAACCGAACTTCCTATTTTATTTAACAAGAACGGCTACCTAGTAGTATGTTTGTAGTTCCATAATGAGTTTAGACAAGTTGTCCACTCAGCTTGGAAAGAAGTTACCAAGGTGATATTGCCCTTTGCGAATTTAACATCGAATGGGAGCGAAAAGGCGTTGGTCCCAA